AAATTTAATCAGGAGCACATACCAAAGTCAAACTTGGTTATTATTAATATTAGTTATTGTAATCACACAAAAAATGTGATGATAGATTCAACGACAGTGACAAGGAAAGACATTTTCCCCTCATAAACCTTGCCTTTCATTCAAGATGATACAGACAAACTGAAAATCTTATATGGCTAACTGGAAAATATTGTAATAAGGGAGACAAATAAGTGATATACGATGCATTCATTATTATTGATGTATGATATACTTACCTGAATTTTTACTTGTATTGAAATTGATATCCATGCCACAATTGCCAGCAAACGCCATTTCTAATATACATGTAATTAGGCCACCATCACTGATATCATGACCAGCTGTGAGTAAACGATCTAAAGACAGAAAAATAGCATAATTACCAATCTGACTAAAATAACAATATGTTAACCCAATCATCCAGAGGGAGTACACATTTGAATATATATATATGAGAATCAGTGAAAGCATGAACTTTGAACCAGTAAAAATTATACATGTATATAACATTGTTTTTTTCTTGTCTAGATGATTCAACATTTATAGAATCCAGATTTTCATCATTCATAAGTTTTAATATTTTCCAATTTTGTCTTCAAAGGAAATGAGCAAATTATAAAACATTATTTGTTCTATGTTGCCATAGCTATTTGAATACAACAGTTTGATAATAGGTGGAATGTAATCAGTAATAGGTAACTGTAAACTCCAAAGGGTCAAGTCAAAATAATGCTCTGAGGAAATTGATATCTCACTTCAACTACACACAATTATCCAATGGTGTCTGCTCTGTATCAATAGCTTATCATTGCTAGAACACATCTCAAAAAAAAAACAAGCAGCCTGTCGGCTGAGATAGCTCCGCTGTTAGCAATGCACATGGCAATTAAAGAACAGAAGATATCATTAGAAAATGAACAAATCTGAAAGAGGTCCACATGTAGTACCTATATGTATAATATATCAAAGCAATTGGACTTGCGGTTTTCAACAAGAAGTCGAAAATATCACTTTTTACCAAAAATTACAAAAATATTCATCAAAATTAGAGAATTAAAGATATCATTATGAAATGAACAAATCTGAGAGAGGTCCACATGTAGTACCTATATATGTAATATCAAAGCAATTGGACTTGCGGTTTTCAACAAGAAGTCGAAAATATCACTTTTTACCAAAAATTACAAAAATATTCACCAAAATTAGAGAATTAAAGATATCATTACAAAATGAACAAATCTGAGAGAGGTCCACATGTAGTACCTATATATGTAGTATCAAAGCAATTGCACTTGCGGTTTTCAACAAGAAGTCGAAAATATCACTTTTTACTAAAAATGACAAAAATATTCACCAAAATTAGAGAATTGAAGATATCATCATGAAATGAACAAATCTGAGAGAGGTCTACCCAAGGTACATATACACCAAGTATCAAAGCATTCAGGCTTGTATTTTTTAAGAAGAAGTCGAAAAAGTAAAACATTGACACGGACGACGACGACGACGACGGACAATCACTCATATGATAAGCTCCGCTCGACAAAGTCGACAGCGGAGCTAAAAAACAATGGTTGTTTTAGAGAAGTTCCATCATAACCTAATTGTGTTTATATGAAAATCATCATTAATTTGATATTGTCTGGCATAGCTGTAAAAGTGTTGTTATTTTGTGTAAATGAAGAATGGGCTGGGGATCTAATGAACAGAAAAAACAATTTGGTTGTACACCTGGTTCATACAAGTACAATCATAGCCAACTGTTGCACACCAATGACCTGCTTAGCTCAGTTTAGAGCAGATTTAAAATTGAGGTGGAATATATACATTACAGGCATGTTACATATAACATGACTCAATACCACATTGGTGCACCTTGCAACTGCAAGCAGAAGTGCACCACACCAAAGTAACCACTTCCGCAAAAACATTAATCCAAATGGCTTGTTATGTACTTACACTCTAGCTTTCATCACAAGATAGCTACTTCTCGGAAATCTTTGTGATTCTGCAAACACAATTATTGTCATTTGTGTCATTGCCGAAACACCTCTCTGACAGACAATGACAGATTCAATAAAGTTTTTGGAATTGTGTGTTGGTAGTTCAGCAGAATGGCATGCCAGAACCACTGCAGTTGAATGCTAGGAACAAAAATGTGATTTCACAAATTTGACATCACTTCTTGGCTGCATTTATTGAGATACATAGTTTTCACTGATGACCATATGGGTCTACTTGTCAGTTGATTGTTGTTTTGTGTTCTTGGACTTGTCATTATGAATGGGGTTTAATGCTAATTGTACTTCTTACCTTTGATAAGTTGCTGAGTGACATTAAATGCTTTGACCAAAAGTTGTGGTTCATCCAAGTCAGGTGAAACATTACCAAGTTGATTGTAACACTGAGCCAAAGCTGTCCCACCTAATCTATGGTGACCACCACTAATATCAACCCATATCAAGGCACCTGAAATAAACAATACATACTTGTTAGGAACAATTTGTTGTCAAGTTCATTACTCTATTCATCTGACACTCACATCATGTCAAGTTTATTACTCTATTCATCTGACACTCACATCATGTCAAGTTCATTACTCTATTCATCTGACACTCACATACGTGTCAAGTTCATTACTCTATTCATCTGACACTCACATCATGTCAAGTTCATTACTCTATTCATCTGACACTCACATCATGTCAAGTTCATTACTCTATTCATCTGACACTCACATCATGTCAAGTTCATTACTCTATTCATCTGACACTCACATCATGTCAAGTTCATTACTCTATTCATCTGACACTCACATCATGTCAAGTTCATTACTCTATTCATCTGACACTCACATCATGTCAAGTTCATTACTCTATTCATCTGACACTCACATCATGTCAAGTTTATTACTCTATTCATCTGACACTCACATCATGTCAAGTTTATTACTCTATTCATCTGACACTCACATAGTGTCAAGTTCATTACTCTATTCATCTGACACTCACATCATGTCAAGTTTATTACTCTATTCATCTGACACTCACATCATGTCAAGTTCATTACTCTATTCATCTGACACTCATGTCAAGTTCATTACTCTATTCATCTGACACTCACATCATGTCAAGTTTATTACTCTATTCATCTGACACTCACATAGTGTCAAGTTCATTACTCTATTCATCTGACACTCACATCATGTCAAGTTTATTACTCTATTCATCTGACACTCACATGTCAAGTTTA